ACACAGAAGCACCTACACAATGATTACATTCACACCATAGCATACAACCTCTTTAGACAAACACATATTGAAAACAGGCTACAAAATGTAATACCTTGGAAAAAAGATTTTGTACTATTTCTTAAAAGGCTTCACTGTCACTTAATTAATTGATCAACTTTTAATACTTAGACTCAGGACACCCTGCACAATATGCAAGTAAGCCACCTCTACAGCCTTTACAAACACCAACATACAGACACAATATGCTCATTGCTGACCCCAAACTGTGTATTGTTTCACTCAAGTGAAGTTTCCCAGCAAAAACAGGGTGTCTACGGGTATCAGACAGTTAAATTAAAGCTTTATAAGACCCGCTGAAAACACCTTTTATCCAAATTTAGAACAGCTATTTGGACAAGCATTGCAGGCAGGTAGTATATATGTGGTCTTGTGCTGAGGTAAGGGTTATGTAGGAATATGGTTATTACAGTGAGTTAAGTCTATCTACATTTTGCCAACAGGTAAGAGAAAGCATGAAGTAAAATGGCAGTATTATAGTTTTTTAAAGATTTTTAACATTAGAAATGTGGACTTTTACATCGAAAGGCTTTATTTATTTTGAGAAAATGAAATTAGATAAAAGTTTGTAGTTGTTAAAACCTTGCAAATTCAAATTTAAGACTATTGAATAACTTTAAAGGGAAATTTCGGTTTATTTCAACCCGTCTCCTATCGTCCTAAATTTGTTTCAAGTGACTAGTGACATAGAAATAATAGTTAGCCTAGATACAGCTGGGGCGCACCTAGTAGCGTATAACAAGCTTTTTTTCCTCAAAGACCGCCTCATTGTTTTGTCGTAACACTGAATTTAAGACTTTTTAAGACTTTAAGGACCTGTAGACACCCTGAGAAATGGAAATAAGACACCATCTGCTTTTTGAAGTTTGAAGTGTGATGTAGTGTTTGCGACTTATTTCAACTTCAAAGAATGAACTCTTCAAACCATTACTGCCTAGTTATTTGTGCTCGTGACTGTTAAGGTTGTGTTGCTTGCGTTCAAGCGCTCTCATATGAGCTGCTTGTTGCAGAGGTGTTTGCAAATTTTTGTTGTGTATATAAATATTAGTCCAGCCTGCAACCGTTGTGGGCAGTCACTGGTCCATATGTTCTGGCACTGCCCAAAAGTCACATCACATTGGTGAAATATTTCACTATCAGACATCATGGGTAGACCTGTGGATCCTGATCCACTGACTTGCACTCTTCCGAATTAAGAGTTCTGATCTTGTGTTCACTAGCTCCCAATACAATATGTTATATGTAACCCTACTAGCACGTTGACTTAAATTATTAAATTGGAGGCAAACACAGGCTCCTGCCCATTCTGCCCATGTGTAGGATGTGATGCACCACCTACATTTGGAAAAGATTAAATTCTCCTTGAGAGGGTGTAAAAACAAATTCTACCAGGTCTGGCAACCCTATATAGACCACTTTAAAGGGAAAGTGCACCCAAAAATGAAAATTCAGCCATTATCTACTCACCCTCATGCCGAGGGAGGCTCAGGTGAAGTTTTAGAGTCCTCACAACACTTGCGGAGATCCAAGGGGAGAGGGGGTAGCAGCACAACTCCACCTAATGCAGGTTGATGGCGCCCCAGATTCAAACGTCCAAGAACACATAATTGAAACCACAAAATATCTCCATACTGCTCGTCAGTAGTGATCCAAATGTCCTGAAGCACGCGCGAGACCAGAGAAAGCACATGAACACACATGAACACGGTGCCCATGTCTCACGGTCTCGTGTGGGGTGCACAGAGAAGCAGTCAGAGCTACAGGCTACAATGAGGCTAAAAACAGAGTTCAGATGACGTGTTTCTAAACAACTTTTTATGTCTGGGCTTCAGGACACTTGGATCACTACTGACGAGCAGTATGGAGATATTTTGTGGTTTCAATTATGTGTTCTTGGACGTTTGAATCCGGGGCGCCGTAGGTTTACGGCCATTAGGTGAAGTTGTGCTGCTACCCCCTCTCCCCTTGGATCTCTGCAATTGATGTGAGGACTCTAAAACTTCACCTGAGCCTCCATCAGCATATGGGTGAGTAGATAATGGTTGAATTTTCATTTTTGGGTGCACTATCCCTTTAAGAAAGATGCTCTAAGTTCTTACCCTAACTAGCCCAGTTTAAATGACACAAAACATGGTCAATCTGACATCCTTCTAACTCCTCCCAATCCCTTCTTTTTTAAAATTAAATTAAATTAAATTTTTATTATTTCTTTATTTTGTTTGTTTTAAACAGAATGATAAATTTTATCTGTAAATATTATATTTTGCAAAAAGATGCACTAAGTTCTTCCTCCAAATCCCCCCAGCCTTTCTTTTGTTTGTTTTGTTGTTAATTTTATTTTATTTTTTTCCCGACTAGTTAACTATTTATTTTCTTTTTTCATTGTTTTAAAAACAACAATAAATAGCACAATTTTTAGTTGTAAATATTATACTTTGCAAACTTTAACCTTTTCTTTACATGTTTGACAAATCCCCTTAAGTATCCCCCTTTTTTGCCTTGTGGAATATGTTTTATATTTTTGTACCAGAAATTCTGTCTTCGCTTTAACGCTACTGCCATGATTATTTTTTTTAACTTTGAAAACTCAATTAAAAAGTGTTGGGGGAAAAAAAACTTACTTTTCAAGAGTCTTGTTCCTTAAACTCAAAGTAAGTGATTGTGGCCTGATAAGCAGGAAAACTGTCATTCCTAGGTTGCCAGGTAGAGAGGCAACAATACCAAGGCAACAGATTTAACAACACTCCAGTGTCAACATCCAAAACTGCATAAAGACTCTTCCATTGTGTGTACGATTTAAAATGACAGGAACAACATCAACTGCAAATAAAGAAGGTCAACAGGTAAGAGCTGAACATGACTTCTCATAGAAGTATTACTTCGTCGTCCTGACTGCAGCAGGGAAGGTAATTTCACAACTGGGGAGCGAGGAGCAAGATGAGTCGAGGTTGGGTGGAGTGACAGACAGGCTGCTGCAGGAAAGAGAGAGCTATGATCCACAGTCCGGCGGCTGCTCTGTTAGTAGCTGCCTATCAATCTGATGCTCCTGATGGGGTGAAGAGGTTACCACAATCTTCTTCATGCATGTTTTTTTTTTTTTTTNTTCAATTATTAACATCTGCTAAAGAACTACTTTAATCACGACAACCTTTCTTCTCCTTCTCATCACTCTGTTGGCAGTGCAGGATCTGTCAATGCCAACAATTTAAATTTTGAGCTGCACTCATCAATATTTTTGTATCGACGATGGATTGAATGATTAAATGTGTTGCCTGCAGTGATTAACTTGCAAAGACTTATCCAACCAAACTGGCAGAATAAATGTTATACATTTCTGTAAACCATAGATACATGTACGTTGTATGATGGATATGTTGAAAGTTAACGTTTCTTTATATTTCAACAAGGCTGTGGATAACGTGGTCATGTTTGGGCACAAAAAAAACTTTGACATGGTTAGGAATAGATGTGTTTTGGCTTAGAATACCCACATTTTGTGGCACAAGTGCCACTAGAATTGCAGCGACAGGTCACAAAAAAAAACCCTTATTACTGTAGGTGGCACAAACACCGCTGGAACTGACCTATGGCTAAGTCCCGCCCTCACAGCCAATCACAGTGTGTATAGCCATTCCCATACACTCGGACATTCTTTGCCTGGACGTTCATTGAAATGCATTACAGAAAGTCAGTTTTGTTCGGTTTTATGAGCTTTTTCGGAGATTTAAAGTTTAATAATGGTCAAACAGTGTGCATGGGGTACATGCAACTCTGACACAAGGTATCCTGAGAGGCTGGACAAAGAGCTGTATTTTTTACACTTTAAACCACATCTCAACCGAGAAAAGTGTCTCCTTTGGATAAAGTTGTGTGGTAACATTAGACCACAACATCAACTCAACGTGAATAAGATTAACAATGATGTCTACATCTGTTCTAAGGTAAGTCAACATTGTGTTTGAGGCAACATATTGTCACTTTGCTGGAAAGAAATATAAAGTTATCTTTAACATCTCTAGCTAAAGTTAGCCTAACGTTAGCTCCTAGCTGCGTTGTTCATCGTGTCACCTTGTTTGCTGGGAGTTCATTAGCCTATTTTGTTCTAGTTTTGTACTTTGGTGATCGTACATCATTGTTAGCTGTTGTCCAAAGGGCTCTAGTTAAGCTAATGTTAACTTCTGGAGCTTAGCTTCATTAATTTATCTGTAATCGCAGAGATAACAAAGGTTGGCAAACGTTATGCTGAATGATTCAATGTAAATACTGTAGCACCAAACTAATGGAGAGACACTCTTGGTAAAGATGGTAAAAAGGCTGTTATCCTTTTCTCATATTCTGAGCCAAAAACCTTAACTTCAGTGGCACTTTAACTTGTTGTCTTTGATGGCAACGGCAACGAGATGCGGTACACAAGCGTACACTGTGACCTGTAAATTCTGGCCTGTAATTTAAGCTTTTCATCGACCTTCTCAACAATAAAATGATTAATATATCCCTCCAATGCGTAGTTTAGGCCCTTTTGGTTACTTTTCAATGACATCTGATCATTATGTCCCCAAAAATAATCAATTGCCTCTTGCGAAATGCCGTGTACTGTGACACCTGCCATAGCACCGGTCACTGAATGTTGATAGTTTGGGGAACTGCCCATTGGTCCGACCATATTAAACCCATTGTTCCGAAGTCCATTCCGAAATCATCATGTTGCCCTGTGGTTAAGGTCTGGTTAGGTTTAGGCACAAAAACCACTTGGTTAGGGTCAGGAAAAGATCATGGTGTGGGTTAAAATGAAAAAGAAAGTGACAAACACATAAGCTGTGAGCCTGCTCCGCCTCAACCCTTTCCCAGCTGACCCAGAGCTTGTTGCTGCGCACCATCAAGGTAGAAATACACCCGCCGGGAGCCTTTCAGCACCACGGACAGTCGGACTAATGGGATGTCGGACCAATGACATGGACCCGATAGTTTGTCCGAGTGAGTGGATGGGGGCGTGGCTTAGCCATAGGTCAATTAGAAGTTAGTGTTAGCAGGGGTCGGTAACACTTCACACGCTTTCATGGTAATATTTTGAGAGGGGAAAACGAACCCTTGAACAGTAACACAATCCTGTTTGAAATGAAAGGAGCATTAGTATCCAGTTTTGTGACCGAATCCCTCATTTTGCTGCAGAATTTCAGGAAAAGTCACCTCAGAAAAAGTGCAGTATATTCGTACAGTTTTGTAATGCATCGCAGTAGAAACACTGGTATTTGGCAAGCTCAACCTTTTAAACTTTGGATTAAAGAAACTAAATGTTTTTTAGTGTTTGACTCACAACAAAATGACCTGTCCCTGTCCCAAAATAATAAATCTATGCTAAAATACACTGCTGGTTTGGTCAAACTCAATCATTCACACACACACTGTCGGAATTCTCTGAATTCATAATTGAGTGCCTGCCATCTAACCCTCATTTATACCTAATAAACAAAAGGTTATAAACCAATAGTACAGTATAACAACTGACTCGCTTGCGGTCACAACTCCACCAGCCGTGCACGGAGGTTTACTGGATCTCTCAGCGTGGTTTGGCACTTACAACAGTCCTAGACAACTAATATACAAAAAAGGGTTTTGGTACTTTTCTTTATTTGTGAATACCATTTCCCATTCCAGCTTTTAGGACAGTAACCCTTTCATAAATCTCTTTCTTGGGCTATGTCTCTGGAGTCCTCTGACAGTAAACACCCCAGCGACCAACATTAAGAATATTTCCCAACATGTTTAGCTATCCACACCTTGCGCTAATCTCTCCTGGAGATTACAGCAATGACGTTTCTTTTTTTGTTTTTACATAAATGAACCCAAAAACAAGCTCAAATTAAAACAAAACTTGAGTCAAGCACATTAAGCTTAACGTTATTTCCCACTGTTCTTGGTCAATATTTTTTTTTTAAATAGAGCATTTTGTCCTTCAAATTACTCAACCCGACAGTCCTCAGTGCTGAGCACGTCATGATAGGAGTCTATCGCAGATGGAAAGCAGAGCCCGTAGAAAACACGAGCGTCAGGATCCACACACCCCTAAAACGCACCTCACTTTTCTTAGGAATGCTGAAAGATGGAGGAACAACGCTCCCCTTCTGCCCTCAGGCTGCCTCCAGCTATCTCCAGCCAATCAGCTTTTTTCTTGGCTACGCCCACTGTTCGTCAAACAGCCTTTTAAGGATGGACCAGCCAGCTGTTGGCATCCTCCAGGTCTGTGTCCAGCTCTTCGTCTTCGTCCAGAGGCTCTGGGGTTCGGAGGGCCAGCTCTCGAAGGAAAGCGGGTGAGTGGGCGGGGGGCTGGGAGACGGACTTGAGGCCAATTTTTTTCTTCATGAGGTGGAACTGGTCTCGGATGAAGTTGTAGAACTCGTACTCGTAGCGCATGCGGTGGTAGAGCACTTGCAGGGCCTCCAGGGTGGGTGTGTGTTTACGCACTGTGCCTGTCATGTTCCCCATCTTCTTATAGTCTGCAGAAAGAATCAAAGACCAAGACGTCAGTTGCAGTTGTTTGATAGGAATACAACGCAGCATTTTTAAGTCTCCCTAATCCAAAAAGTTTGCATGTTCTCCCCATGTGTCAGTGTGGGTTTTCTCCGGGGACTCCAGCTTCCTCCCACAGTCCAAAGACATGCAGGTTAATTGGTGACTCTAAATTGTCCGTAGGTGTAAATGTGAGTGTGAATGGTTGTTTGTCTCTATGTGTCAGCCCTGTGATAGTCTGGTGACCTGTCCAGGGTGTACGCTGTCGTCTACTCGTCTAGCGTTAACTGGGATAGGCTCCAGCCCCCCCGTGACCCCCAACAGGATAAGTAGTTACGAAAAATGAATGAATCAAGTATAAAGTCTGGAGCTGCTCCATAGACAGTGAATTGGGAAAGATGTTATAGATGACACTGATAGCATCCAGGGGAATGTTCTGAGTATAGACCGTATCACAATGTTTGCTCACAGTAACTTCCAGGCAGAAAATCCCAGTGTCATGAACATAAAATTAAATGGTGCAGAGCAAACGCCACCACAATTAGTCAGTCTTTAGCGACCTAAAAAAAAAGGCCCACTTAAAAAATCTATATCAGTTTAAGTGTAAGTTATACTAAGAATTTTTCTACCTTGCAGTCAGACAGCCCTTTCCATAACGGAACTGAAGCGGTTATCTAAAACCCACCAGACTCCACTGACAAAAACATTAATTTAACTTTGCAGATCTCTGGAGTCTCTGGTTTACCGCTGCCTCCATCAGTAAGTGTGTGAGGTCGAACAGTAAAATAATCCAAATACAGCTTGCAAGTTTGAGACTTTTCTGATTGCTGGCTTTGACAGAGAGCAGCTCATGTTCACAAATACTGACTGAACTTTCTTAGGTCATGGAAATAACATACTGGAATTCCTAATTTAGGTGGTGTTGCCTGTTCAAAAAAACACCTCAGCCAAACAGCTGTAAATGTGATACTTCAACATAAATAAAAGACAGTTTGGAAGTGCACCCACCAGGGCTCTTGTAGATGTTAAGCACTCCAGTAAAGTAATGAGGTAAGAGCCTCTCCAACAGGAGCAGAACGTCCTCCAGCTCCTCCAGGATACCCACGAGGAGGTAGTTCTCCAACACATTCTGTTTGGCCCTTTCCAAAGCCCATACTCCTGGCTCCCTGATGGAGAGGGACAAAAAATGAAGAGTAAGAGACAGATGAACAAAGATAGCAAAAGAGCAGCCTTTAGCCCACACTAAAAGATTTTATAACAACAATAACAATAATGCATTTTGTTTATAGGTGCCTTTCAGAGCACTAAAGGAAACCTTACAAGACACGGTAAAAAAACACAGGCAACAATGTATCCATAGATCATAAAATCAAATATACTTTTATTGTTTAATATACAATAAAAGTTCATAAACTGTCTAGATAAAAATCCTAAATCATCATCAGTGCAAGTCTCAATATGTGCCTAGTCACTTGAGAGGGAGACCAAAGAGGATAAAACTGCATTAACCAATACAAGATGAAACCAAAGAATGAACGGGGATAGCAGCGCTCTGAGGTGATTTTTTTAGATCTTAAGGGATGTTACAAATGTGAGAGACTCCACACATAACAACAGTTTTGTTCCTGTTGTGTGTGGACAGCAATGATTTGACCAAAGCAGCAAATCACACGCTAAAAGATTCAAGCATTCATGAAAAAAAAGGAGTCCTCACTCTCAAAACCCGAAACCTCTCGAAAATCTTGCAAATCTCTCCCGATCAAACGTGACTTTGGGAAAAACAAACATGCTGGACGATACACAGGAAAACTAGATGTTAGTTATTGCGGTACTCTTTATGTAACATTCACGAAGAAAAATGGATGAAGTCACGGAGACGCCGTGAGCATGGACTGTACATGTAGTGCAAGCTGGAGGTGAGTAAATTTGAGTTGAAACCCATTTGATATTGCATTAAAACCCCTTGAGACCTGCAGAACCACAGGCGATCCTTAGGTTTCCTTCCCACAACAGGATATTGAAACAAGAAATATTTGCTGTTTGAAACTGGTGTGGCCAGGGTGAACTTCGGAGCAGATCAGGTATGTGAGAAACACTCGTAATACACCTCACACAACAGGAAAATCCGGCAAGATGATCCTTAAAACCATATAAAAAAAATTGGGGCTTTGCTGGCTATTGTCTAGAGGAGAGAATCAGGCCTGAAATTGACTTGAATGTCATGTAGTGTGTACCTGTTATTTGACAAGTTTACCAAAATGCTTTCGTGTGCAACTCGACAGTCTGTAGGTACCTGCATTGAGGGTGCTGTCCACAGAAGTAGGGGATGATGTAGAAAACTCTGGGGTTGGAGCACTCTGGGTAATTCTCTAGAATGCACACATTGATATCCTGAAAGCAGACAAACACATGACAATCTTTAAATTTTACTCACTCCTTTATAGTTTTCATGCAGTGGATGAAGCTCAGACACAAGTGTAATGATTTATTTCTGCCACAAGAGGGAGGTCTTCACCAGCACTGCTGTGAACTCCCTGATAGTCATCATCTGAGCAGTGCTCTGCAAAACCACATCCTGAGCACCAAGATAAGCTCTGCCCCTTCACCTCAGCTGATCTCAGGAGCTGAGGCGTCAATAAGAAGACACATAGCTGTGTTAGACTTGTGCTCACTCGAAAAATAAATGTATGGGATATGAAGATCATTACTACAATCTCGCTGCAGAAATCAGATGCAATGACAGCTCGTCTTTCAGCAGCGATCAAACAGGGATGAAGTGAAACATTTCATGTCTTACACGTGAAAAAAAGTGATTATACTTGACCTTTAAAACACCCCTTGTCTCAATGTGGGAGCGATTAAATAATGAAAGGGGGGAAAAAAGCACAGAGGACAGATTAAAAACACACATGCAGGAGTGAAGCTGGCCAGCCACTCAGTGCTGTGGAACTCACAGTCAAATCTGTGTCAGGTGACGTAAGCCTTATGGATGGCAACAAGTCCCGAGAAACATAACACTCCACGAAGCATTACTCACACGCACACACACACACTCACACACAAGCACAGGCGCATGCAGATACGCCACATGTGCTCAAACACACATACGGTAGCACCAGGCTATGTGAGTGAGGTAAAAGTGTTGACAGACCTGCTGTATAAAAGGAAGGAGATCTAAAAGTGGACACAAATTGGAAGCGTAATGATTGCATCAAAGCTTGATTTATACTCTGATAAGTCGGTAACGGCTGATTTGAAACAGAGCAATTTGTCAAAGCCAACACTGAGGCCAGCATGCTCCATCAGAGATTAGGTTGGGTCAGACAGGACCAGAGGCTCAGACTTTCCCAGAGGACACAGTCTGCTGTTGAGGGTGACGTGAGGTGTGTGTGGGGCCTGAGGATGGAACACTTGGAACCAGGAAACTGAGCCGTCAGAAACACTTAACTGACACGGATGAAGGCAAGAAACCGTGTGTGTGAGCTTATATTGTGTGCTTTTAAAGGGACAGTTCACCCTGAAATCAAAAATACGTATTTTTCCTCGTAACTGTGGTGCTATTTATCAGTCTAGATCAGTCATACTTGCAGCACGCAGGCCAAATCTTGCCCACAATAGGGTGCTGGGTGGTTGGCCAACTATTTTCTAATTCAGATAGAAAATAAACTGATCAACAGCTTTTTTTGGGATTCCCTTAACCTTCCCCACATTTATGTATTTATGTACCGGCCCGAGCCTTCTGTCATTTTGCACGAGCGGTTGAGTATCCCTGATCTAGACTGTTTTGGCATGAGCTGCCCAGTGTTGGAGATATCGACTGTAAAGATGTCTGTCTTCTCTTGAATATAACAGAACTAGATGGCATTCTCCCATGTCATGTAGGGACTATTTTCTTTACACCGAACTACTCACCCCAACTGCATCACTGCGCAGAAAGAAGCGTGCATTAGCTGATAGCTCATCTAGCATCACTGAGCTAGCAGAGGAGGAAGCCATTAATGTTTACATCTCACACAGTCATAAGCACGAGCCTCTCATCCAAGGATAAGATGCACACTTCCTTCTCTGCGGTGATATGGTTGGTGGGTGTAGTTCGGTGTAAAGAAAACAGTTCCTGTGTGAAACTGCTCACAACAAGATTATCTTGAGGAACTGGGTCATGATTTCTGGAAAGAGACGTTGCTGTTGAGTTTTTCAGATGTATTATTTTTGTTGGCGCTTTGAGCACCACAAGCTGAGTGCCATTATATATATATATATATATATTATGTAGACCCTTTTACTGTTAGTAAGCAGTATGACGTTTTTGGTGGGCGGGGCTTAGCTGGAGGCAAACAAATTCTTCACAAACATTAGCTAGCAAGATTTGTTGGCTTGTTTTAGACAATGGAGGAAGATGATGCGAGTGGTGCATTCAGAAACACTCATACTGAGTGTCGGAGCGCACTCTGGAACAAACTGGACCGTTTGTAAATTCAGAGCGCTGTCTGAAGGTACAGTTTGGTTATTCAGAGCACCAGATTCTGGAAGTGGCAGAGTGCACTCTGGGCACTCTGTCTGGGGAGATGGAGCAGCAGAGCTCCGAGCAGAGTGAATGTGTGATTAACTTAACCGTTCGTTAAGTCTTGCAGAAACATAACACTCCGTTTCTTCGACCAACAGGGCTCTCATTTTAGTGTAGAGCGTCAGACTGAATATACAAACGCACCTTGTCAGGTCACTCACTCTCCGGAACCATGAGTGTTACTCGAGTGAGTAAACACTGACTAACGGGAAGAGACTGGCCGACCCATATGCTCTCACTCAGTGGATGGATGATGTCACAGGAAGCTTTGTGGTTGATTACTATGCCAATCTTACAAATTAGGACAACACTTGAACGGTTTCCTCCAGTTTGTTTTGCTATCGAAGCTAACGTTAGCTAATGCGCTAAAAAGTTAACATTACGGAGAAATCCAATATTCGTCTTAATACCTCCCCAATGTCTGATGAGGTGGTGAACCTGATATGAAGTGTACGCTGCACATGTGAGCATTTTTGATGATCGCCTCCGTCCAGTCCTTTTGTCTTATCACATTTAACCATAGTTGTCTTTGTTTTTGTTGATAGGCAGTGGTGGCTGGTATGTGATAGAATGTAAGTTTTGAGTCATGACTCCTCCTAGTGTGGCTCCCAGTAACACAACACGATGACATTTTAAGACTCCTGTGTAGCCTACAGCCCTGTGGTGGTGAGTCGTGTTTTGCCTCCAGCTAAGGAAATGACATCATTGTTACATTGGCCCTAAAAGGGTCTACACAAGAGAACACCTCTATGGCCGATATCTCCAACACTAGGCAAATCACAGCAAAACAATCTAGACTGATAAATAGCACCACAGGTAAGAGGAAAAATATTTCGATTTTGGGGTGAACTGTCCCTTTAAGACAATTACATAAAGTTGCAGCCGTTGATCAGTTGTATTTAGCTGCATGTTTGTGATTGTATGAAGATTTTTTCATGCCATTTTTGCTCAACAGTATGAGACTGTTTACAGCAAACACGGATGGACTAATTGAAGTAGGCTTTTCTCAAGCTTCTAACAAGGTAGCCGTAAGACAGTGAGAGAGGGCAAAGGCAGCCTATACACATAAGCTGGGATGACACAAGTTATGCACTTAATCAGTAATTTCTGCAGCTGAATTCTGTGGTGCAACTGTGTCTGAGTCACCACACAGCGGCTGCAGGGTTTGTTTGATCTTTATAACTGAGCTCCACTGTGCACCGAGAACAGCACTTATTGATGATCGGTGAAGCAAACCACTGGAAAGCTCCTCAAAGAAACCACAACAAAACCCCAGAGAAACCTTAAGAAAACATTTCTGAATTGCGCTATTGTTAGAATACGGGTCGTGTCCGGACTTGTGAAAGATTGCCATGGTTTACTTTGATTCAGAATTTCAAGAATAATTTGTTGTCCTTTTTCGAGTTTCATTATGCAGAGAATGACAGTGTCAGTGCATCCAGTGTTATCAATCATGAGTGTATCTGCTTCCCACACACTGCAGTTTCCTGTCAGTGGTGAGTGTTACATTCTCTCAATAAATGCGGTAAAACTTTGTGCACGAAATGATGAATTGCATGTTGTGATTTCAAAAGAAAAGTTGATACATGAACTAACTTGAACTCAAATACAACACTGGACCCATGACAGCCTTTTTTTTATAGCATACTGGAAAAGCACCCATGAAAATCAATATGAGCCGAAAAAGTGAGAAAAGTGAGAAAAGTCAGAGAAAGCCGGGCAGGAAGTGACACGTGTGACGCCATCCCTTGACACAGACGGCTCATTGCCAGGAAGTCCCCCCTCCGCTTTGCTCCGACACTTGATACAGGACCCTTATGCCTCAGCATTTAGGAAGACCTCTGGGAATCAAGCCACAACTCATCCACGCACAATCAAATATGCACACACACAGCCGACAGACAATACACACTCTCTTTGGAGGACCCATTAGTATTTCGAAGAGGGCTCCTGTGTGCACACTCGGGCTCATTGTTCCTATTCTCGGCGTGGATTAAGCCAACTGAGCAGTCACAGAAACTGTAGCAAAACAGGCCCTAATCTCTACGACGGCCTCCCGTTCCACTGAAAGGAATGTATGAATTAAATCAGGAGTAATTGATGATGTAAACCTTTCCCATGGGACAGTTTGTGGCAGTATTCATCAGGGAGCATGGGAGTGGTACACCTGGGTCAAATCACATTTAAACTTGCAATAACTAATTTAATTTGTTTTAAAGGGGAACTACGCCCATTTTTAAAATTTCATAAATGTTACTCCTATGGTCCAAGACAGTCCAAAAACATGACCAAAATGAACAACTCTCCCAAATCCAAAGGCCTTAGTGCTAACTCTAAAATTTGTTATGTCATAGGGTGTAAAGTCTGGAGCTGCTTTATAGACCAAGAATAGGAGACTGATTTTATGGACTCACAAACAGGTTTTTTTCACACCCAAATGAGCTTTACTATATTGTTGTGTTGTCACATTGTGCTGCATTCACATGCTCCTTGGATGGTCCTATTTCCAGAGTTGGGAAGTCGCTCTTCTGACTTTGGTGTGTTCATAAGCTTTGAGTTATAATGTGGAAAAAACATGGACACTACAAAAGGAAGTGTTGTGTTCTATTGCTGAGAGCATTTAAACAACACATTAGTAACAGTTCAAACCTTTATATTACAAAGAGATTTTGTCCCAGACTTAAACACCTTAAACAGGTGGTTCCCAACTGGTCCAGCCAGTGCTTTCACACCTGCCCTGTTTTGTTTGGCTCAATAGAACTCAAGTTAATTTGCCCCCTAAGTGCGGTTCATTTGGGCAGGTGTGAACCCAGCAATCACACTCAGG